TTGTTTCAACTAATTTCACAAACAGTTCCTTTTGACCACACATATGGTTGCTGGCATAATTATCAAGATACCAAATATTTTTCTTGAATTCTTCATTTCCTTTATAAGTGAGGAATACATGAGATTTTTCAATTTTTCTTCTTCAGCTACTGCTACGTCATTTATTCTTCTTGTTTAGGAGCATATCTACACCCATAACTACAATGACCATACTTATTGCAATTATAACATTGTACTTTAGATTTATTTTCTTGTAGATATGTCTCTACCTCGACTTCTGAATCCTCGTCCACGGCCTAATGTTGGATTGTTTTCACTTATTTGATCGGTGTCATATGATCGACCACCACATCCACGAGTTCCTTATCCTCCTCTGTATCTTCCACGATAACCACCACGATTTCATTGACCTTGTGTGTAGATGTTGCTAGCTTTTCCTTCGTTGACATTCATTTTCCTTTGTAAAGCTTGCTCCAAATTTTCAAAATCTTCATTTTATTTCATTTTCTGCTCATAGGCTTGAAGTGAACCCACAAGCTCATCGATCGATATTTGGGATAAATCTTTCGATTCTTCGATTGTCACAACCACATAATCGATTTTTTTGTCAATAACCACAATTTTTTTCCATCACTCTAACCTCGTCGAGTGATTCACCATTTCTTTTCATTTCATTCACTACCACTTTTACACGACTAATATAATCATCGATGCTTTCCGTATTTTTCATTTTTAACATCTCAAACTCAGCTCTAAGAGTTTGTAAACGTACCTTCTTTTCTTTTTCAGCACCTTGGAGAGATTTTTGCAAAATCTCTCATGCTTGTTTTTCGGTCTTCGCATCAGAAATTTTTTCAAAGGTAGATTCGTCTATTCCTTGAAAAATAAAGAACAACGCTCTTTTATTTTTTTTTCTTGGATTCCTTCAATACCTTCTTTTCTTCATTGGCCAGGGCTACTTTTGTTGCTGCATTTTCAGGCTCGATGTAACCATCCTCGATGATATCCCAACAATTTTGGGAGCCTAGTAATGCCATCATTTGAATGCTCCAATTGCCATAATTCGTCTTTGTCAATCTCGGGATTTGTGGTTGAATCATGTTGGTCATATTCTCCACCACGTTAAACTCAAACCTGGCTCTGATACCACTTGTTGGAAGCGTAGATGGGCTATCGGTAATTTATAACTCAAACTATATTGATACGAGATAAAATACGTTACAACGACACTACCTTAATACTACAACACTACAACACTAACTGCGACTTGTTTACAAACATAGCCTCGCTATTCTAAGCTTTGCTAAGTTTTACTCAATTCTCTCTAATAGCTTTGCAAAGTTATCTCTCATTCTTGATTTTCTAATCTTTTTCTCATATTCGTTCTCATTTTCTTTTTCTTGTTTTTTTCATATACCTTTCAAACATCACATATATAATAGTGTTTAATCGACTAAGTTGTCGTCTCAAACTTCCTTCACAACTAAGCATTTCATTTGTTTCTTTCACCTTTCTTATCCACGTATACTTTGCTTCCTTCATGCAAATTAATTTGTGCTGCTTTAATTATACTCGTACACGTCTAATATCCGTACTTAATTCTTAAGTAATTCAAGAAACTTCCTTAATTGATTGTCATGATAAAACTTTGCTTGATGCCTCATTTTCTACAATATTCTTCAATTTTCCACAACCGTAATTTTTGACTTTGTTGCCTCCTCACTTAAGCTTAATAATTAAGCATTTACTTTGCTGACAATCTAGTTTGACTTTCAACACGAGGAACAAAGTTTTGAACTTGGTCAAGAAGTTGAATCCTGATGTTTTCATATTAGGGGTTGTGAATGGTTCTTACATTGCCTCATTCTTTACTACCAGATTAAGGGAGGCTCTCTTCCGCTATTCCACTTTAATCTATATGCTTGAGACTAATGTGCCCCGTGAAATTCCTGAACGGAGGCTGATTGAGAGCGAGATATTCGGGTGGGAGGCAATGAATGTCATCGCATGTGAGGGTGCTAAAAGAATCGAGAGGCCCGAGACATACAAGCAGTGGCAGGTTCGGAATACAGGGGCTGGCTTCAGACAGTTGCCACTGAACAAGACGATCATGAAGACGGCGAAGGAGATAGTCAAAACATGCTACCACAAGGACTTTGTGATCAACGAGGATAACGGTCAGTTGCTTTAGGGGTGGAAGGGACGGATCGTTTATGCACACTCGTCTTGGGTGCCTGCCTCATAAGTGCATACTTTTTGCGACTCTTGGAAGGCAAAGTCTTCCAAAATCAACTGCGGGGACGGATTTCCACATATACGAAGAAACGGTGCCGAACTTCCGACGCTTACAGATAAAATCTCTCCCCTTCGCTCCGCCTCTTTACACAGCACACACAAGTTAGACACGAACACCATAACTTCTTGATATTGATGATTATTTATCATATATTTCGAACTAGTTACTTAGGCAAAATCTTGGCTGGTTTTATTCACATGCTGTTGAAGGCTGAAATGCAACATGTACCATTTTGTTTCGGCATCGATGTTCATAATGCATAAAATGTAAATGAACTCAAGGATGTTTTGTGTCTTTCATGCATTAAATATGCTTATTGTCTGTTTGAATCTCACATTTTTTTTAACCAATAAGCTTTCTGTCTGGGGATGTAAGTTTTATCTGCTGATATTAAGTTACTCCGATACATGTAGGTTTTTTATATGGATATTTTTGTTTTATTTCGATACGGATATATTTCGAAGATCTTTGTAAGATACTTGCATCGAATATTTATACTCCGAGAAAAATGAAAGAGTCGGAGTTATAGTGTAACCAAATGAGCAACTCTAAGCCAATAATATTGAGAAGTCGTGTATTTTTTTTTTTGGCTATATAATATGATGCAGTTAGTGGTATTGATGCATGCTTGTTGACATTATCTCAATGATTTGTGATATTCAAATGCAACAATCAAGTATTGAACTTTATGAATTGTTTTATATTGTTAATGGTAACTAAGATTTCATTGGTTACTCTTTATTTATTCAAATGTTTGAGTGTGATGATATAGTCCTCCTAGTTTTATATTAATATTGGTATCTCACATGTATTTGAATATATTTAAATGCCTAGACGGATACACTATGTTAAGGATTGTTTAATTATTTTGAATTTTAGTGTTTAAGAAATTGTTATCTCTTAAAGTTTTGAGTTCGAATACCTAGTTGTAGGAGTATGATCATGGAATTTTAAATAAAAGTATGGGTAAATTACATCATTCCTCATTAAACTATATTTTTTATCCTATTTTGCTTATAGTGCTTCTAATTTACTCACTGAACTTTTGAATTGGTCATATTTTGATCACTCTAAATTATTTTATTATTATTTTCGTATGATGTGGCATATTATTTTATTATTAATATAGAATAATTTGAAATATAAAATAAAAATAGAAGGTGGCCAGACACTACCGTCGACCGTCGTAGATGGTGGTTGTTTGGTCCCAAATTTCATGGGTCACTTCGCCTCGATACCGTGAGTTTGGATTCGACCTTCATTTTGTCAGAACTTGCTTCGAAGTCCATGAATTAGAGATTAAAAGTGAGGAAGAAGAAACGTTTTAGTCGAGATTCACAAGTTTTGGGATATTTCTGGTGAAATAATCATCATATTCGGACTCAGGGGATCGTCTCGAATCGATCCATGAAATTTGGGACCGAACGACCACCATCTACGGCGGTCGACGGTAGCCGGTGGTGGCATTCGGTCACTTTATGTTTTTATTTTATATTAAATAATAATAATAAAATGTCACATCATACGAAAATAATAATAAAATAATTCGGAATGATCAAAATAGGGTTATTTAAAAGTTCAGTGAGTAAATTAGAAAAATTAAAAGTACGATGAACAAAATAAGAGAGAGTATAGTTCAGTGAAAAATTGTGTAATTTACTCTAAAAGTATTTAATTTTAATATTTTATAAATATTTTTAATTTTTCTTTATTTTTTATATTTTATATTTTCTAGACATGCTTTTAATTTTAATAATTTTTATATTTTCTTTAAAATATTAAATAAGTTTTTATTTTTAAAGAAAAATTAATTAAATCCTTAAAAGTGTCTAAAAGAATTAATTAAATCCATCTATTGATCTTTCATATAAAGATTATCACGTCGATACCGTAGATTAACAAATAAACATTATTAATAACTACATCATATCTAACAATTAATGAGAGTTCGAGGTTACGTTGTAGTTTAATTATTTTTTCGGTAATTCTATGATGAAGATGATACCTTTTTGATAAAGGCACACTACGATAGAAGCGCCTTTCAAAAGGTACACCTTAGTCGATTGACATGTTTTAAAAAATAAGGTGCACGTTACGTGTCAAAGTCACTTAATTGAATAAGCACGGGTCGAATAAAAGTCGGTAACGGTGAACTGCTTATATTGATCTTGTCTTTAATCACTCAATGAATGTATATTTAGAAAAATTATATTTAAAAAAGCTCATATATAAAAATAATATAGGATTTGAAAATATTATAATAAAACTAATTAATTTTGAGATGTCAAAACATAGAATGAACTTATAACTTTATAAATTTGAGTACATTAATCATATAATAAAACACACCTTTCGCAGGAAATGATGTCGTGTTTGGTAATACAGCATGGAAACACAATATTTTAATGTTAAAGCCATTATATGAACTCAAATGCTATAAATATAAAATATTTTAAGTGTGGTTCGATCCATTCCAATTAATACAGACATAAACCAAAACTTGCAAGATTTTAATATTTTTTTTGCATAAATATATATTTTTTTTTAAATTATGTTCAATCAAAATATACCCTTCTGGTACCCATGTTGAGCACAGATGTGAAGAAAAATAAAAGCAAAAGGACATTCCGAATAACATTAGAACCATATATTACACATTGCCCATGTGTTCATGGACCCGAACAAGTTCTCCAAAGGTTTCAGCATTATGATGATTACGACATTCACGAGGTTGAATTCAACATGTTAAAATGAATGCAGTTTCTTCCCAGTAACATCTATTGTGAGCTGAAAATTATTTAACATGGAATTCAATAAAACACCGCCTACACACAGATTAAAACGCTGCCGCCGAAGACACGTTCTTCTTCGTCTCTCGGAGTGCTTAGCGGCGTCTGCGTTTAGCCGTTTCCCACATCTCCAGTAAATACTCGACACCCTCTTTCAGGCTTGCCTTTCTTCCTTCTCCATAGTTCCACAACTCCGAAATTATGTACCTTCCGCTCGGATTGTATTCGTTTATTTCTTTTATAGACGAAGTCACCGAGTTATACACTTCATTCCCCATTTCATCCTTCAAATCCCTCAACTTTTCATCTTCATCATTAATCACTTCCTGAATCAGCATTATCAAACTTTGAGCAAACCAGCAGGAAAGGAACAGAACAAGGAACAATATATATATATATGACATCTTAGTAGTGACAGTGCCAAGGTTGAGAAAGAGGAAGAAAGCGGGATTGCAGCTCAAGTTCAATGGGAGTCATGAAATAAAGACCTCATATGCTTCTTTTCCCTCGAGTTTAATTCGTTTGAATGGATGCCAGTCCGGATCCTTCAGATATTCCTCCCACAATGAGCACATCTCCGAAGCTCTCTCCTCAGCTTGTTCCTCATTATATTTTCGCTTCAGAGCTTCAAGGAACGGTTTACCGTCAAGTTCCCCCATTCTCTTAACGCCGATATTTCCACGACTTGATATTTCTTTTAATCCCTGCAAAGTGAATGCATTACTACTTCCTGACTAGAAAGTGTGTCGAGCCATAAAGGGTTAGATGCAGACTTTTAAGAACTACACGACAAGCACCACAAAATAGTTTGCATATCAAGTCGACTTATAGTTCTTAGTGAAAAATGTTTGCAAAGCCTTAACACGTGTTTTATTTCATAAAAAAAAACGGACAGAACGGCGGTATTCCACGTAAAAAATATTTACGCAATTAAACGAACGTGCTAGTGGTCAAAACTAAACCTGTGCTTGGTTTTTATTGAGAAAAGTTGAAATACAACAAATGTGCTAAGTACCAAGTATTGCTATCCAATGATGAATGAGCGTATAATTTCTTCAGTGTATTTTGGTTTTTGCAATACCATCAAAAAAATCATGACTAAGCAAGCTTACCCTATAATGTATCGCATACCATAATCTTGATATCCACCATCGGAAAATATATACGTTCAAAGATCTTAAAAGACTTCCAAATGGACATCTGATAACTAAGGTCCGCAATTATTTGGCTAAAGTTAAAAAGAAAACTCACATTAATCAATTCTTTGCGAGCATCCTGCAGCTCATCGTTGCTCTTACGTTCTCTTACAATAAGAGTTTGGTTCAATGCTTCTAAATCTTCCAGCTCTCCCTCCTTTTCTCTCAACTCCTTAAGACTTGCTTCCATCTTTTTCAGAACTTCTATATCGTCTTCATCTCCCATATGCCTAATCACATTCAATGAACCTCTCAATTGCTCGATTTCCAGTTCTAATGCCTGTTTCTGGTCTAATTTTTTCTCCAGTTGAATTATCCTGTTGTGAAGTTCCTCCTTTTGCCTCTGGACAATTGATGGTCCAATCATATGATCAGTTCCCAGCAATCTAGAACCGAAAAGGAAGTATTGTGGTGAGAAAAAAAAAAGGCACAAATGACAAACAAACCTGCTGATCTTCAGCCAATTTCATTACTTTTTCATCAGCCTTTTTTTGCTCCAAAGCAGCCAATTGTAATGCACTATTTTGAGAAGCATTCTGGAAGAAGAAATATGTGAGTTCGAGATTTTCCGGTAACTCTTTCGCGGGAAGTCCCAAGCAAACAAGTAAAATAAAATACATCAACTGGTGCTGCAAGGGCAAGTGAAGTTGTTTTTATTCTTGTTAATGCTATACTTGTATGGTAAAAGAAAATCATGGTAGGAAATCACCAATCCTAGATTTCTAGCCTGCAAAGTAGGCGCCTATATTTACCCTTCAAAATACATGATTACACATTATTCGAGGAATCCATGATCTTGAAAATCAACAACTACATCCACCGTATGTGATAGATGAACAAACTACATCAGTATTGAGTTCAAATGGCCTCGATTCCAAAGTGGCCATATGAACAAACTATGAGACAGTTTCACCAAGAAAAAAACACTTCGTTATAAAAACTTGAGAGGCGAACGAGCAAGAGCAAAAATGAAGAATGAAGCATATCACCTCTTCAAGCTCCTCAGCCAACTTTTTCCTTTCAGTTTTGTTATGCGCCTCTCGCTTTTCAAGTTCAGCTCCGCGCAACTCCAACTCCTGTTTATGAGTTTCTAGCTGTGACTTCAGTTTTTGGTGGTCACTGGAAATCTTTTGGAAGTGTTCCCTTGCACTTAGTTGAATTTTTTTAATCTCTGCGAATAGAAGCAACATGAGTTTGATACCTTTGAGACGACAATGTCATAGAAAAACACTTTCCGGAATAAAAGTTCACGGAACATCACAACATAGTTATGAAAACAGTAATGACATGTAACATACTCGATGTAAGATGGAATAAAAACAACAGCTGAATAGATTGTATATATTATTACAACCTTCATTATATGCTTGAAGAAGGTTCTCCTTTTCCCCCATTAAAATCTTGAGGGACTTGGAAGTTTCAGAGCATATTGCTTCCATCTCTTTTATGTGTTTGTTTTTAGTCTCAATGATATTTGTCAAATTTGATATTAGTCTATCTTGTTTCCTGGCTTCTTCCTCCATGAGCTCGGAAATTGTTTTTAGGTCACCAATCTTGCGCAAATATTCTCCAATAATACCACTTGAATTGTAGTCATCGGCACGGGCAACCCAAGCATAAAGACCATTCTTAGCATCATCATTAGCACTCCATTCCTTTTTCCCATGGCGATCTGCTTCATAAGCCTTCTCAAACGACAACACATTATGCAGCCCTGGCCAGTCTTTACGGAATTCCACGGCAGCAGTCCCTGAATGACCACGGAAATTCCAAAGTGGGTGAACTCTTACGGGGTTGAATCCTCTGCTGATAAACTCATCCCTCAACTTTGATCCACTTCCTCCTACAGTTCGTCCATCCTCAGACCTACGGGTGGGAATGTTAACAACAATTCCGGTCCACGGCCAAACAATTTTCTCATCACGATCACACTCACAATCACTAGGAGGATCCTCTCGAGCCATAGGTTTCGATGAACAGACAACAGGCACGACATCTAGCTGCAAATATTTCGCCAAAGCTAGGTGATTGGCTTTCATTCGTGGTTTTCTCTTCGAAGAACAACTATTTCCCACACCAGAAGCATGCTGAAGGAGATCCTTGTATGTGTAAGTTTGCTTATTCTTCTGAGGACAGTAGGGACACGTATAAGTTTCGTCAGAAACCACGATGGTATACTTTCCATTCTTTAGTTTCTCGTAAGATTTATCTTCATACTCCCCCATTTCAGATTCACTTATATCTGAATCATCATCTCCTGAGCTGAAATCCATTCTCAAGAAACCTAAAAGGCAACAACAAAACAAGAAATCAAACTACATCCAACAACAACCATGCAAATGTTAACGACTTGCTCGTTGAAAAACCACAATCCCATGCTTGGTTACTAGGAAAATAAAATTAAAATGAAGAATTTAAGCATCTAAGTTGACATTGTACAGATACACATAATAGACACTCACACTCCCGTCCGGGTAAACTCAGGGAACTCAAGGACGGATGCAGGATTTTATGCTAGAGTAGATTGACTTCTAAAATTTCAGTAAATGATGAACTTATAAAATTATAGGAGAGCGAAAACATATTATCAATATAAAATATACAATATACTATAATTTTAAATTTTTAGCGCGGTCCATCCTGAGTAAACCCAGAAGCAAACCCAATTACTAATATCTTAATTTCAACAGTTAGAAACAGTGTTGCATGTTAGTTATTTGCAAATCTTCAATCGGTTCACATTTTATATCAATAACAAAACTACAAGTAAAAAGACGTCGCATTGTAGTATCCAACCAAACCAAGTATTTTCCTTCTTCACGTAATTTTTCCAGTAACCAAACAAAACCAGAATGAATTAAAAAAACAAACAAATGCATGAAATGACTTGGATTATCATTTCCAATGTCCCCATTCATGATCACAGTAAAAAGACTAAAAGATAATGCAGGAATCAGAAGATCAAAAACAAGCAGCAGATCATCAAAACTACAATATTTGAAATTCAAAAAACAAGGGAAGCTTGAAGAATTTGATTGTGTACCTACACAAAATGAGCCTTTGATTTTTGGGATTCTTGAGCTTCTCCCAAAGCTCTGGTTTTGCTAAAAATACTATTTTTTTAGCGCAGAGAATCAATTAAATACTCTATTTTCAGGGAATTATTGGAGAACTGAAAAACAAAAAGTGTATTTGATTTATTTACACCTGGATCTGGTAATATCAGACGGATATGATTACATCAAGTAAATAATTAATATTAAAAATTAAATAAAATAATCTAAAATTTTCTATCCTTCAACCGACTCGAAAAATATATAATCTCCACCCGACCAGAACCCAACCTAACTTTTTGAGATAAAATCCGAACCCGACTCGATTTAATCTGAAATAATAAAAATATTATTTTTATTCAATAAAAAATATTGACTTAATTGAAAAAAATAATATATAGAGAGATATTATTGTAATTATTCTTAAATATATATGGTAAAATTATATTTTTTTTTGGTTGGATCGGGTCAGGCATTTTTCACCTTAAACCCGAACCCAACCCGACTCGAACATCACATTAAAAAAATCCGACCCAACTCGAACTCAATTTTTTTAAAAAAAACCCGACCCGATCAGGTCAGATCAGGTCAAAACCCATCGGATTTGGGTCTATGCCCATCCCTAATCATACTCCTCAAACTACTATGGTCCTTCTTAAGTTGATCTTTAATTTTGTTAGTGCTGCAATTTCATCCCCATATTTTATCTTTCATTCTAAATTTGCATTTAAACTTTTGAAAATTTTAATTCCATCCTCAAACTATAACTCTCATTCTAAATTGATCTCAAACTTTTGAATGTTTGAACTTTATCCTAAACTATTAGCATATGCTAATCACATCCCTATAAATAAAACCATTATGTCAAGCTATTATATTATATGTTTGAAAAAATTAGGTTAAATTATGTTTGAAACTAATTACATGTTTAGACGAATTTGAGAATGAAATTAAAAGATTCAAAAATTTAGAGATCAATTCAGAAGGAGAGTCATAAATTTAGGATGAAATTGAAATAACTAAAATTTTAAAGATTAATTTAAAATAAAAATAATAGTTTGTAGATAAAATTATAATACTCCAAATTTTGAAAACCAATTTAAAAATAAAGATCATAAGGCGTGCGATATAATGTTTAGTTGGGGTAGATAGGGTTCAAAGTTGAACTGAGATCAGGTCAGTTACTTTAGATTTTTATACTTTCTTGATAATTACTTCAGTTTTTATTTTTATTTTTTATTTTAGTAAAATAGTTTTCGTTTTATAATATTTAACACTATTTGATAAAAAATTAAAAATATTTTTATAAATATATTTTTATGAAAATAGAAGTAGTTAATTTTATTAGAAAAAAGAGATAATATGTAACATTGTAATGAACATATAATTATGATATATCCATGAACCATTAATACTTAGCCACTTGATATCATATAAGGTTTATATAAAGAAAATGTTAAAATATCATCTAAAAAGCTTAAACAAAAGACAAATAATAGATCTGACTCGATTGCAAATGAACAACAACAAGTGATCAAACTATTAAAAGACCATTGATAATCGTAAATTAGAGTCAAATGTTATGAGAAAACTATCTCACAACACTAATTGAGCATCCAAATTTAATTTGAGTGTCCAAAATGGAAAAAATCAGCAAGATAACAAATAAATGTCATTTTAATCGGTTGGTGCATCATCAAATCTAATCCTAAAAATTAAACGAAAAAATTAAAAGATAAAGTATATATAACATAAAGACAAAAAAAACGTCATATAGAAAGAGTTAATTAAGAAATTAAAAAAATAGGGTATAAAAAATAAAGAATAAACATGAAATGCAAACAGTTGATGATTAACATTAAAATTAATATCATCGTCTGCTTGATCGTGGATCATCTGTCAAACAAAAAAGAAAAAAAATGGTTAAAAAGTATACATTTTTCTTTAAATCAGAGGATAATAGCTCTTTATATAAGTTTAGGTATACCTTTTCGTTTTTTGAACATATAGTTTCAGGTACAGCGCCTATATTATTCAAACACCCCACATATAAGAGGATATCAAATACTCAAATATAGTTCATCTTACGTCATTTAAGTAATGTACCAATAACAATGTTAACCGAACTAAATATTATATATTGTTCTAATTATTTACTAATTCAAATTTACATAATAAAAAATTCTTTAAACCTGATTATGGTACAATAAAATATTCAAACATGAGTTTGTAAACATGGTAAACGTTTTTTTTTGGTACAACATGGTTATAGGCGTTTAGTCCTGGGATATAAAATTATGTTTGTGAATAAGATTACAATATTGTATTATGTAAATTCATTTAGGTGCGATATAAGATTAAACATCTTTATGGTTAATTAGAAGAATATTATATTATTGAAACACCTTTTATTAAATTACCCTTGTAATAGCTTTTTGTTTTTGTTTTATTTTTAAAAAATATATGTGCCAATATGCCAAAGTTAATTTAGAAGGCATAATTTATTCATAAAATATTTTAATTAAAAAATAACTTATTTATGCACGAATCAAAGATCTCGATAGTCAATGAATTGTCGTTATTCTTTGAGGTACTAGGTTTAAACACCATGAATGCCAGAGATATGAGCGTTCAACCTTAAATGGTTGAAAGTATCTTTGAACATATATTGCTTTGTAGTTATCCTAGATTAATAAAAAAAACAACTTATTCATCCAAACAGTTAAAATCAATTAGAAGTTCATGTATTATATTCAAAAGTTCATTTTAGTCTTTCTACCATATAAAAAGGAACGTTTTAGTTCCTTTACCTAAAACTTCATGTTAGTCTTTTTACTATAAAACGGATATTTTAATTATGATTAGTTGGTTTAGATATTTTACTTTGAAACGTGAAAACAAAAATAAAATTGCAAGTATTATACAAAGACTTTTAATACACTTTAACTTTTCGAAAAAAAAACTTTAAAAATCAATATCAAAAGTCTAGTACTCGAATTCGACACTTACACCCGAACCCGAGTATCATAATTCAATTATAAGGGCAGCAAAGCAGGTACCGGAATTCGGATTCATAATGCTGAACTTGAACCATTTTGGCAATATGGGATTTAGGTTCTTTGTTCAAACATTCCATGATCGATCTTTTCCGAGAACTTTAACTAAGTATCATTGTTAAAATCATTGTTGAAAGTCATCAACAAAGTTAGAATTATTTTGTATAAATGGCATATAATAATTTCTTCGTTAATCCTTGTGGTTAAAGATTTTCCAACAGATGATCAAACATAATGAAATCCCAGTCTTTCAGCTCTCAGTCTTTTTCGCTCACTTGCACTCTCATTTGGTTTTTGTTCTTCAATTTTCCGCCTTTTAAAATTGTAAACTCAAGCAATACTTTGTCTTTCAGCTTTTTATTTACAAAGAAAAAATGGAGGAAGAATTGTTGGAGCGCAACACCGATTGCATTTATTTCTTAGCCTCTCCCCTCACTTGCAAGAAGGTATTTATTTTCTCTTTTGGGCTATCCGGAAGTAAGCTTTTCCTCTTTTGCACTTTCTCATTTTCAGCTCGTATTGTGTGTTTTTTGTTGAAATTTTTATGTTTCTGGAAATGCATGTCAATGATCTGGATATTCAGTGTTAGTTTTGAACCAAAACCATATAATTTTCTTTCTTTCTTCTTAATCAAAACTTTTAGTACAACTTATGAAAGATATTCAGTCTATCAGAATAGAAGTGTGTTGTTTGAGATTTCATTATATTTGATTATCTGTTGGAAAATCTTTAACCACAATGATTAACGAAGAAATTATTATATGTCATTTATACAAAATAATTTCAACTTTGTCAGTGACTTTCAACAATGATACTTAGTTCATATTAGTAGTATTTATCAACTCTGTATTTCTAACCCCATTTTTTTCTCACAAACGTTTCATCGAACATCTATGCTTCACCTGAGATGGCATGTATCTAACATTACACCTTGAATCGTTGATGGTCCCGATAGTCCCTTGGTCGAGTCTTCTCTCAATTGACCCTTATTCAAGTCAACACCTCCACATAATTCAAAGTTAGATTAGAACTTCTCATGCATCCCCGACTGAAAAGTTACGCTGTAAATGAGAAGAGAGGAGCGAAAAAGGAAATTCGAGATCGAAAAGAAATTTGGGGTTTAGAATGAAATTGAGGAATGTGTTGCAAGTTTTAAAAGTTAGGGGACCTAAATACAAGTGCCTGAAAAATTCAGTGACTATATTGCAAATGTACTAACGACAGTGTAACGGCGGGGACCATATTGCAAACGGACTAAATATTGAAGGACTATATTGCAAGCTTTAAAAGTTGGGAGACCTAAATGAAAACTTTAGAAAAGTTCAATGACCATTACTATATTTTACCCTAATTTTTTTGAAGTTTTATAAATGTTTCAAATACGATGTTGTTCTGGATTTAATGTATAATTAATAATCGTGTATGCCATCCCACATATTTATTGTAACTATCGAATCATACTTTTTCTTTAACATGACTATCGAATCATACTTATTATCATCTATTTCCTCATCTCGTATATCATAATTTATTTACATGATACATCATTTATCAGATATTCGAATAGTATTCATACTACACATACTATGTCAGTATAATCGTCACACAAACTACTTAACATATAGCGGTAAGCAGTTTGATATCGATTAAGTAATGTCTCTAGTTCGAATCATTGTGTATATAAAAAATTCCTGCTGGTTGACTTATCCACCTAAAATAGGTGTACGATACGGGTCGGTCTGGATTAATCAATGCGAAGCCTTAAAACCAGAAGGACAAAAAAATGATATATATAATTAAAATTTTGTTATAGGAATAAATAAAAAAAATCTGATAGAGATGTATTCTAAAAAAGTATTGAGTTTAAAGCTCAAAAGAAATCTTGATGCGAATAAAACAAACTTATTGTAAGAGTCACCCTCATAATAGATCTATATAAAATCTAATACAGATTAGTTAGTCAATATATCAAATAGCAATGATAAATTAAAAAAAAAAAACTCAAAGGTCTTATTTAATTTATTCATTTAGTTTTCCACCATATTACCAAGCTACAAAGAGCATGAAACACAAAGCAAAAGGGAAAAACAACTATATTTTTAACTTTTGATATATAAATTATATAAGATATAGTCATCCAACTCTTGTTGTGCTTCAACATCTTCATACCTCTCGACTGTTTCACAGATAAACCTGCAATTTAATAAATAAAGAAAATCCATTATTTTTTAGGTCAAATTAATTTAAAAAATATGGAAAAAGAGAAAATTGAAAAAGGGGTTTATTGGGAGGTTAAATTCCATGGTACTTCCACCTTCGATTCAATCAATGAAAATGATATTCTTGGTTTTCTCCCATGCATTAGCATACAAGACATCGCGTTTGGTGCAGTACCTCATCCCGGTTGGATCATAATAAGACTGCATCAACATCAGTTAGGAGTTTAATATTTCGGATTCGAAATAAGTTTCGAATATGAATATATATCCACCATAGATATATAATTAGAATCAATCAATGAAAATATGAAATTATACATAAAATCAATCTCTCATACATATTTATGTATACGAGATAGCATGCATGTATAGATATATGTATGCAGGATCAAAGATTAAAGGATTCTATATACCTTATAGATCCTGCCAATGCCCCCTCGGCCGGTCGGAACAAAGCGCTCCTCAGCTATCCAGCCCGACAAAAGCCACTGATAGCGAGCGTAGGTGTTGTCGTAGTGAAGTTCGACGGCACCCGGAGTCCTCTTACGAGACCTTTTCTTATTCCGTTCTTTCACCGCCTTCAAGGTGGCTTGCGACATCGGAGACAGCTTCGGAGGTGGTGATGTTTTGGTAGGCAGTGATGGAGATGTTTCCATAGACGGTGGTGGAGGTGTTTCCATAGGCGGCGGTGCTTTCGCCTTGCTCGACTCAGGGCTGATCAGCTCGACCTTCTCATACCTCATGGCTGCGCTAAACCTGCAAAGCAGATTGCTCTAAAGTTTTACTTGTTCATTTTTAACGTTCTCCCTTTCACATATATAGGCAATTGAGGGTTGGTAAAATTTCTAGGATTTTTGCATTTCGCCTCTACTTTGCTCTTTCTTTTACATTAGTCCCTTAGGGTTTTAAATTCTTTTCAATTTTCCCTTGGGCATACATATATCTTATAGTTTGATTGAGCACAATTTTATTTAGATAAAAAAGCACGATTTAAACAAATACTTAGGATTAATTGCTTAGTGAGGCTATTATTTTCAAAATGAAAGTGTCAGAATGATTTTACGTACTCTGCATGAGAATGTATGTTGCGCGTGTCGCTTCACTCATCCCACTTATTTTTTTGAGCGCGTATTCTTAATTTTAAATCTTTTATTAAGTTAAACATCGAGAAACTAAGAAAATACATAATTGATACTATTTGACTCATGATCAAACAAGTTAATTTTTAAATAATCGGTTTCCCATATTTGTTCATTTTTATACATTTAGAATATCATAATCATATTTGTAAATTTTAACCATTTTTCTATCAAAGACGAAAAACAATAATAATCTTATTAAACATTTGTCTTTCCTATTTAAAAATATAAAAATCAATAAAATTCACAAAAGCATAGTTTTTTATTTATAAATATGGGTTTTGCTAATGAACTGCTAAAGGTGGACATAAAAGATAATACTTTAAAAGTGTTGGATTTAAGTACTAATACCCGTTAGTTAAAGGGTCGACATTTAATTAATCAATATATCAAGGATGCAAAATAAAATAAAACTTGTGATTTGATGTCCGAATATGGATATATTGAATTTCAGTTGGATTTTGCGCTGGATTCCCCAGCCTAAATTAATTGTGTAACTTATCACTTCTGTTTCCTCGATTTCCCCATTTTATTATTTTTTACACTTACCATATATACTTTATTAATATAAATATTTAACCATATATATTTTCAAATAAATATTTAACTATATATATTTTTAATATAAATATTTAACAATTTAAGGTTAAAAAAGTAAATAGGAGTCAAATCAACATTATTTTTTTATGTCATTCATGTAACCGTTTATCTTAAGATATAGTTAACTACCCAATTCCGAAGTCCCGCTCAAAATTTCGGATAAAAAATTAGGTTTATTTTAAAATATGAGTTTTAATTTAATTTATTAATTAAATGATCTTAGTGTTTAGAAGATATTTACTATTTTTAGTGATTTTGAGTTCGAACATGATGTCCACAAAAATTTTTAAACGTTTATTATTAAATATTTGAGATAATAAATAGTTGTGAATCTTTTGAGCATATACTATTTTGCGAACACTCCATACTAATAAAACTAATAATCTATTTTATTATTAAATTGTTTTTTTTACATCCATTTTCCTCTTAATTTTAATGAGTTTGTTTGTTCTGAATTGTTTTTATTTTAATTACTTTAGTTTTTATTAATAATATTAATTAAATATATTGGTGGAAAAGTTGTGATAAATTGAAATTTTTGAAGTATATTTTTATGGGTGAAGGTGCATATTCGAATAATGAATTTACTTATTGATTTTCTATTTCATGAGATATTTACAATGATATCTCATATACTCAAAACTATTTAGTGATGAATGAAAAATTAGTGCTCAAAGTACCGTACTTGTGAATTGAGCAGTTTAAGAAAAATGAAAAACTCATACACCACATTGGCATGATAGCAAGCATGTGAATGATTCATATGCACTAACCTACTTATTATTATTGAATGACTTAAATTGAAATTGTGTATTGCAAGCAAGTACAAAAGGTGTGTATTCAAACTTATTAAATTCATCAGCGATAGGGGTTTACTCGCACGACCTGAATGACATGAATGTATAAGCACTTTGATCTTAATCCTTTATTTAGGGGAGCCTCAACTATAAGTAAAGGTCTCTCTTCCTCATTTGTACCCACTTCATCATTTGAGAAATATATCGAACATTCTCTCATTTCTCTTTGTTCTAGTCATTTGAGAAATATATATGGGTTGGTAGGATCCACTTACACTGTAAAGCTCTTTCAGTTTTACATTTTTTTAGGATCATTTGATTTAGTTTTATAAAGTGTAATTGGATCATATATATATATATATATATATATATATATATATATATATATATATATATATTACTTTAAATTTATTCTCCACATATTTCAGTGATAGGCTCAACCAAGGTATAGTTCGTGATCTCTACAATTGTGCTACGATACATTGATCATCTCGTTGTTGTATCTTGCAAGACAAACAACCAAAAATCTCAAGCATTAAGGAGTAACCGAAAATATGTCTTAAGAAAACTGTGTACTTATAGGTCTCAACTTGTTTCCAAGTTATTATTCTGTCAACATTTCGAGTTTTTTTAATTTTAAATCGTACTCTTTATTTTTTTTAATAAAATATTTCTTTATTTTTTTTTATCTCGGATTGTTATAATTGTAACATATATTTATAATAAATAAATTCAATTTATTAATTGAATTTTATATATATATATGTATCTTCTTAATTAAAAATAAATATTACTAATTCTTTTTTATGTGTTTCAATATTACAAAACTAAATCGGTTGAATTAAAAATTTTCCCTAAACCGAATCCAATAGTCTACCCAGCCAACCAATCCATTATACCAAAACCGACCCAAAATCAAATTGCAATACCTGAACCCGTTTAACCCAATACCCTATTAAGTACATCAAACCAATTACAAATCACATACGTTGGCCCATTTCCGACGTTAATTTTTAAGTGCCCAAGACATAATGATATTTTAAAAAACACTGTTATTTCAAAAATATTTTTATTTTTTAAAAAATTTTAAAATATTATTTTTATTTAAAAAAACTCAAATATTTTCTAAAATCTCAACAACAACAAAATCTCAAACCCTAAGATCTCTTATTCTATATTATATTACCAGCCATAGTTAACCATCACCGACCATTATCACTGTCTCTAAAATCCACCTGTCGTCAGACCTCCACTATGATCATCCTTTATGTCATCATTCTAATTCTCTTAAATCCATAAATCTTTAAAATTAAATATCCAAAACTAATATCCAAATCTTTAACCGTAACCTAATTTTATCTAATTATACAGCGTTGAAATTTTCTTTTGAAATTTCCTTTTAAAAATAAATTGTCATTGGTTTTGCAACATTGTTGGCTTTTGTTCGGTTGACGGTGTTGGAGTTTGACCGGTTGGTAATATTGGCGACAACTGATGGTTGTATTTGTAATACTGATGGATGTATTTGTAATACCCCAAATTCGGCTAGTGACTAAAATTTAAGTTTTAAAAGTTTGGTGGATAAAGTATAAATTAGTAAAAGTTTAGGGACCAAAAATATAATTTTGAAAAAGTTATATATTTTAGTATGTAACTGAACAGTTTGGACTAAAACAAGAATTAGCATGATAATCAGATTTGTGGTACAAGATTTGTGTTCAAAGTTATAAAGCGTTAAAGTTCGGTATAGAAATCGAATAATTGATTGAATCGTAATTTTATGAAAAATTGAAAAGATGTTAGATAATGGTTGGAAATATTATTTCCCTATTTTAGATCAGAGAAATTTAGCTTAGAACATGGTAAATTTTCAGATTTGGTCGAATAGTGGAAATTTTAGTGACTAAAATGGAATTTTTGAAAAATTCATGGCCAAAGTAGAAAGCCAAAGTCAAGTTTGTTCATATTTGACTATGAAATATTTTAATGGAAGATAATGCAATGGCATTTTGTAATTATCAAGATTCATTAATGGTAATTTTGGAATTTCCCATTAAACGAATTAAAAAATCAATTAAGTTAAATGAATTAAAAAATTAATTAAGTTAAATGACAAACGTTCATGAAATTTCCTAGAAATTTCATAACATTTTTTTCTCTTTATCAAGCTTTGGTCGTGAGTCTCCATGGTAAGGTAAGGAAATTTTTAAGTTCATTTTTAAGCCTACATGATTTATTTTTGGATTAAGCTATTAGATAGATACTTAATCTATATGAAATTCTCTATCATTTGGTATAAATATTACATGGTGAACATGTCTATTTCATGAGATTGAAAATTAGGGTTTACGATTTTGAAACATTGATGAAAGGTTTCGATGTTATTGATGTCGGAGATTAATTTTCCAGTATGTGTGATGTTTAAAATCAAGTGTAGGATTATATAAAGCATTCGACCATATTAGGGTTTTTGAGAACATTGAGATTTTTGATGTAATACGATGTTGTTATGATTAGAATAGCATGAATTTGATGTTAGGAAGTTAAATTCATGCTTGAAATTGAATGAAAATCATACCTAAAGCTACTTGAAATATTCGGCCATATGAAGAAATTAGGGGAAATTTTGGAATTTTTTTCTAAGGTCTAGAAATGATATTAGAAGTATTCATGAGACTTGGAGATCAATTTGAATCAATTTGGAAGCTTGAAATAGAAAAATGGCTAATTTCCAAGTTTTGAGAATTCTAGATAGTATTGCATAAATGTGATAGTTGGAGTACTAATGCTGAATTTTAATATTAGAAATAATGTAATTTTAAGTTATAAAGTTTGTTGGAACCAAATTGTAATTTTAGTAAAGTTTAAGGTTGAAAATTTGAAAAGTCCCAAAACTTTAAGGACTTGTTTGTTACTTTGAAAACATGTTGGTATTATTTTGAAATGAGAAATAGCAATGCTGGAAATTTTAGTTTTATGCTGATTTTTGAGTTTAAATATTGAGTTGTGGTCAAATTTCAAGTTTATCAAATTTGGGTGGTTGAAATTAAAAAGTTAAGAAAGTTTGGAATGAAATTGTAAGGTTTTGAATGTTAAAGCATTACTTGATTATTTTATTAAGGTGCTGGAATTTTAGTATTTAATGTGAAATGATCATAATAGCGAAAGGCTATTATGAAATTTAATGGAAAAGTTAATGTGAATTTT